CACACAAGCATTTCTATTGTTTTTATTATAATTTTGTTTTTTCACACTTTCCTTAGTATATATTTTAATGTTTGCGCTTCCTATCTATTACTCGATAAAGACTACAGACTGGTAGTCGAAAGCTCATCTGAAACAAAATTTTTAACCAGAGATCATTTTTCTATTTTTCCAAACTATAAAATTTGTTTATCAGATCCCTTTCATCAGTACATCTTGTAGAAAACTTTTTTATAACAATCAGTCAGCTTTGGAGAATGTATCTTTTGTCGAGTTGGCTATATCTAAATTACTCTGTTGTTGAGGTGCCTTTTGTCCCACATGTTGTGAGCCCCATCTCTGTGTCTATGCAATCGTCAGGCAAGAAAAGGCTTATTGTCAATTTGAGGCATGTCAACCAGACTATTTAGAAGCAAAAGTTCAAGTGTGAGGATTGGAGAGTCTTGTTGTCATACGTCAACAAGGGTGATTTCCTCTTCAGTTTTGATCGTAAGTCTGGTTATCACCATTTTGATATTTTTTCCAGATCATCAGACATTTTGGGATTTTTCCTGTTTCTTTTTTCCCGTGCTGTTAAATATTCTAGCTTTACAGTCCTTCCGTTTGGTCTTAGTTTGGCCCCTTATATTTTCACCAAGTACCTTACACTGCTTGTTCACTGCATGAAATGGCATGCATAAGGAGGTACAGTGTATAATGAACTCGTATACATGATGTGCACAGAAAGGTATACTGATGTACACTGAAGTATATGTACAAGTTCTGTATAATGATCAGTATACATCTGTATCCTTGTACTAATGTATACCGTATTGTGGAGATTACCTTATACCTAGTGTAAGAGAACCTTGCATGAGTTGACAAAGTAAATTCAAATTGTTTGTTATTTTGTATCATAAAAGAAGAAAACAAAAGCCCCGGCCACTGAAAATAGTGCTGTCATGAAAAATGTACCCCACGATAATGAGTGCTTCTTACCGCAGAACTTACTGAGCGAAGTTATCGGCATGTTAAGTAAGCTTTAAGTCAGATAAACATCTGTAAACGCAGGTGCTATCAGTATTAACGCGTCTTTGCGGATTTCGTACAGGTATCATTAATGTACCTTGACTCTTCTTTAAGCATTGCTTACAGATATCCATAATGCATCTATATGCTCCTTTACGTATTGTATAAATATATCAATAACGCATCTTAACGCTTCTTTAGGCGTTGCGTAAAGATATCCATAACGCATCTGTACGATCCTTTATGCATTTCATAAATATATCAATAACACATCTTAACGCTTCTTTAGGCATTGCGTAAAGATGTCCATAACGCATCTGTACGATTCTTTACGCATTGCATAAAGATATCAATAAGGCATCTTTATGCTTCTTTACGGATCGTGTAAAGGTATCATTAATGCATCTGTACGCTTCTTTAAGCATTCCATAAAGATATCAATAAGGCATCTTTACCCTTCTTTACAGATCACATAAACATATCCATGTCGCATCTGTACGCTTATTTACGCATTGCATAAAGATATCGATAACATATCTTGACGCTTCTTTACGGATTATGTAAAGGTATCATTAACGCATACTTAGGTTTCTTTACGCACCGCGTAAAGGTATGACGCTAAACAATGCTTCTTTACAGACTTCATAATGCATCTTTCATTTACACTTCTTTAATTTCTCAAAGTATTAATTAATAATCTGAATCTTAATGCATCTCTACGTTTCTTCATCACGATGTCTTGTATTTTTAATCATTATATTTTTAGTCCAGGACCCCTCTGGATATCAGCCTCGTTGCTGAATGGGCCACCCTGGCTAAATAAAGTTTACCTTTACCTTTACCTATCTCTAAGTATCAAGGTAAAATGTGTTGGTAAAAACACAGACATAGGAATTGGCAGGATGATGTGCTTGAGTCATCTCATGCAGCCCATGATTACTAATGAGACCTACTGACCCAGATGTGTCAGACAATGAGGAACCAGTAGCAAAGAAATGGAAAAGCAATGAAACAGGTCAAAGTACCGAAAATGAAGCCATCATAGGTCAGCTTAATTAACATTTTGATTTAGCTGAACAAAAAGGAGCTGAAATCAATACCAACTTAGCTGCCATTGTCTCGAAACTACTGAAGGAGAAAACTGAGGAAGACAAGCTAACTAAAATAAAGAAATGCTACCTGTCGCCAAAAAATTGCAAAAGATTAGCCGAAACAAGAGTTAACTTGCCAAAATGGAATAACCTGTCACAGAAAGCACATACAGCTGACATAAAGGTGCAGAGAGTGCAAACATCTCTTGTAAAGGGAGCTACTTCAGTAGTATCAATTGTAAATAACTTAGTAACTGCTCCCAAAAGCCCTCAAAAGACAAAGATGTAAACACACTCATGGATGCAGTGTTGGTAGCTAATGCTAACATGGAACTTAATATTTGTTGCAGAGAAGCTCTTTAACCAGAGCTCCATGCTAGCTACTGATACCTCTGTGCACCCTCAAATCCAATTACTTCAGAATTATTTGGGAACGATTTACCCAAAGCAGTGAAGGATATAACCGACACCAACAGAATTACCTCAAAACTCCAAAGGGATAAGAAAGAGAGTTATTTAAGAGGTAGGCAATATGAACACCATGACAAATTTGCAAGCAGAGGAACTATTCTGGGACAAAAATCTACAATCGCCCCCCCCCCCCAAACAAGGGGGAGGGGAAGAACAAAATCCAGAAGTCTCAGTCTTGACTGATATGAGCACATAACACCCAAATTCAGAGGTGAGTGCAAGCAACAATGTCAGTCTCAAAGTTGCTGGTAGGTTCAAATATTCTCTTCCTGCTTGGAAACTAATTACAACTGATATTAAGATTGTTGACATGGTACAGCACTGTCACCTGGAGTTTATTGAGACCCCATCTCAGCAATATAATTTTCCTCCCAACAGATTCAATCCAAAGGAGGCTAAAATTATTGATGACGAGATTAAGACATCTTACAGAAAGGGGTTATTGAGGAAGCCCTGCCCTCTGAAAACCAAGTTATTTCCAATGTATTTCTTAGGAAAAAGAAGAATGGCTGGTACAGGATGATTCTTAATCCCAAAAGATTAAATGAGTCTATCGAATGTAAGCACTTCAAAAAAGGAGAGTCTGTCCTGTGCTCTACAATTAATAAGAAGCAATTGGCCTCATGGCCTCAATCAACTTGATAGATGCCTACTACTCAGTGCCAGTGGCATCTGAGCACAGAAATATCTGTGGTTTGTATTGAGAGGCATATTATTTCAGTATACTTGCCTGCCCAATGGCTTGACCTCAGCACCCAGATATTTTACTAAGCTCCTAAAGCCAGTGTACGGTACATTACAGTCAAGGACACTTGAATGTTGGCTACAATGATGACTCTTATCTTCAAGGCAGCTCAACATCAGAGTGCCGCCAGAATATTGTAGCAACTGTAGTGTTTAGCTGTTAGTACTCTTGAGACATTTCATGATAGTATACATGATGTACTATAAGTTCGAAAAGGATCTCGGGTTGTTGTAAGCATGGCGTGTTGTACAGTGGATTAAAAGAGTTTTGAGGAGTTTAATCCGTGTTAAANAACTCAGCCATTTCAGCCACCATGTTGGACTTGTCAGCAACATGTAAATGAGGCAGGTCTGAGAGAGGACCCTGGGAATTAATTTGAGGTGACATTTCTCTGCGATGTTGTTTCTTAATACCTTTCATTCGCTAGTGATAGTAGTGATACTACAAACGCGAGACAATGAGCTCATAATTTATGTTTTGGTTCAGTTGTTTATGAAATGCAAAGCAGCTTAGCATGCCACATCTTTCAAATAAGCGTGGTGTATTTGAAGTGACAACAACACAGTGCACAGGGTATGCACAGGTTAACACATTCAATCTTAGACTATATCTGCTGTTATGACTTACAAGTTAGGAGTCCACGAAAAAAAGACAACTCACACCAAGATATTAAACGTACACTTTTATTGATTTTAATCCTTTTATTTGTCCCCAATAAATTTTTAATTTTTTCACGACAATCGATTATGAAAAAAGCATAATTGATTGTCACGTCGCTTGAACTTTTCAATCAACTTTCGATTATAATCGATCATCAGCCCATCACTAGTGAACACTCAGTTTCATGTTTTTGTTACAGTTCAAATGAGTATAAGCAATCAATTTCTTGACTGTTACATGTTCACAAATAATGTACATGGATTGTGTAGTGTTTAGCCGTTAGTACTCTTGAGACATTTCGTGATAGTATACATGATGTACTATAAGTTCGAAAAGGATCTCGGGTTGTTGTAAGCATGGCGTGTTGTACAGTGGATTAAAAGAGTTTTGAGGAGTTTAATCCGTGTTAAATCCATGTGTTTTATCGACCATCACCACATTTGGCGATGAGTATCAAACTGGAAAAAGGTTCTTCTGTATATTTCAGTTGAATTTTGCAACATGCCTGGAACCNTTAACTGAACATTATTTTGTTAAGGTCCTGCAGTTTGCAGTTCGAACCATTAGTTTGAGAGTATTTGGTATCCTTGTTATTTGATATTAAGACATTCCATTTTTTCTGGAAGACATTTTTCTTGAACTCAGTTTTAACTGCAATTTTATTTGCCACAAAGGAAGGGAATGTAGTGTTTAGCAGTTAGTACTCTTGAGACATTTCGTGATAGTATACATGATGTACTATAAGTTCGAAAAGGATCTCGGGTTGTTGTAAGCATGGCGTGTTGTACAGTGGATTAAAAGAGTTTTGAGGAGTTTAATCCGTGTTAAATCCGTGTGTTTTATCGGCCATCACCACAGCAACCAAATGCCTTTTTGAGTCCCTAGGTTTTGTTCTTAACAAAGAGAAATCTGTTTCGT